GCAGGGAGCCCGATGCGGGACTCGATCCTGTGACTCCAGGATCATGACCTGAGCCGAAGGCAGTCGCTTAACCAACTGAGCCACCCAGGCGCCCATAAATAAAATCTTAAAAAAAAAAAAAAACTATAAAAGAAGAGCAAACTAAAACTTAAAAAAAAAAAAAGCAGAAGAAAAAAATAATAAAGATCAGAGTGGAGGGGCACCTGGGTGGCTCAGTCGGTTGAGCGTCTGTCTTCTCGGCTCAGGTCACGATCTCAGGGTCCTGAGATCAAGCCCTGCACCAAGCAGGGAGCCTGCTTCTCCTTCTGCCCCTCCCCTTGCTCATGCTCTCTCAAATAAATAAAATATTTTTTAAAATTTTAAATGTTTGTGTTGCAAAGAATACCAATGAAGGAAGTGAAAACACAATCTAGAGAATGGGAGAAAATATTTGCAAATCTTATGTCTGACAAAGGCCTAGTAAATAGAAATAAAAAAGAACACCTAGGATTCAACAATAAAAAGATAATCCAATTTGGGGGGGGACCTGGCTGGCTCAGTCGCTGGAGCATGTGTGATGCTTGATCTTCGCGTTGTGAATCGGAGCCCCACGATGAGTGTAGAGATTACTTAAAAAATAATAATAATGAAATAAAATAAAAATAAAAAGGGCTAAGGATTTGAATAGGCATTTCTCCAAAGAAGATATACAAATGGTCAGCACGTGAAAATATGCTGAACATCACTAATCATTAAGGAAATGGGGCGGGGGGCGGGGAAGAGAAGCTACACAAGATGCCACTTCACGCCCACGAGGACGGCTGAAATAGAAAGTGCACAGTGACCGTCAGCGAGGATGTGGAGGAATCGCAACGCTCAGGCATGCACACGGGGCTGGTGGACCATCACATGAGGCAGCTGCTATGGGAAACTGTCATTTCCTCAAAATGCTAAGTCTAGAGTTTCTACATGACCCAGCCATTTCGCTCCTAGTATACGGTCCTAGGTGTATACACCTAAGAGAAATGAAAGCAGCGTGGCCATTCTAATTCAGAGACGCTCAAGCGCATCCCAACACTCTGAACTGCAACTCCCATCAGATTACGTCAGTCCCGCGCAGCCCCATGGGAAACGTAGGCCGTCCACGCTGTCTTGGGCGCTTTTCTGTGTGTCGGCAGGCCACGCTGCCGTCGAGCGCTCACTGTCGCAAAAGAACCTTCCCTGCGCCGTTCTTTTCCCTTCTGCCGTCAACCGTGCCTTAGCTTCGCCGGCAGACGGCTTCACCACGGGACTGAAGAGCGTGACAGAGCGCTTTACGACAGTTGCTTTGTGGCAGTGCTGGAGGAGGAAGATGGCGGCCACCTTAGTAGCCGCTCGAGGAGCGGGGTCCACGCCGGCCTGGGGTCCCGAGGCCATTACCCCGGACTGGGGAAGCCGGGAAGTCTCCACAGGGGTGAGGAGGCACTCGGGGTTCAGGAGATGTGCCCAAGGCTTGATGCGATGGGAGGATGAGGCCTGAGTGGGTTGGAAAACTGGAGGGCGGGGGAGGGAGGTGGGCTGATGCGCTGTAGTAGGGAAGAGGTATCCTGAGGATGTTGGAGAGTGGTGTGGAAGGGAGGCTGGAGCGCGGAGTCCCGGAATCTTGCGGGACGAGGGTTTCAGGCCCGCATGGGCCTCTGGGGATTTGAGGATTGGAATTCTGGAATTCAGGAGACTTGACAGCGGATCGGTGGCGCACGACTTGCCTGCTCCAGGGACTGCATTGAGGGATCGGTGAAGTTTGTGTATGAGGGAGAATGGGGAGGAGAGCCAGATTCACCCCTTTTCTTTCTCCCAGACCACTATCATGGCCGTGCAGTTTGAAGGGGGCGTGGTTCTGGGAGCCGACTCCAGAACAACCACTGGGTGAGCTCAGGACAGATACCGGCCGGTCATCCCGTCTTTCCTTCCCTCCCTTCCTTCCTTCCCTTTCCTTCCTTTCCTTTCCTTCCCTTTCCTTCCCTTCCTTGCCTAGCAGTCCGTTCTTACCCTCCACGGCCCACCGCGGGAAGGGAGGTTTCTCCCCTCCTTGGACTTAAGGATTGGTTCCAGCTCCTACTGCTTCCCAGTTTTCCCTCTCACTCTTTGGTGAAATTTTTGCGAAAGTCTGTTCTCCAGCTAGCTTCAGTTTGGGTGAGAACTGATGGGAACTGCTGGAATTCCTATTCCTGAGCCCCAGGAGCGGGTAGTAATGGGATGGGGGTGGGAGACAAGTGGGATCGCTTCCTCACTGCCCTGCCACCCTGCAGGTCCTACATCGCCAATCGAGTGACTGACAAGCTGACCCCTATCCACGACCGTATTTTCTGCTGCCGCTCAGGCTCAGCAGCCGATACCCAGGCAGTAGCCGATGCGGTCACTTACCAGCTTGGTTTCCACAGGTACTTGCGGGCGGGGGAGGAGCAAGTGTCTGCAGGGAGTTGCGACCCGAGGTGCTAAGTGGCCTGACTCGCGGGTCCTGACGCTGTCTTTCCTGTCACTCGCCTCACCCTCTAGCATTGAGCTGAACGAGCCTCCGCTGGTACATACAGCAGCCAGCCTCTTCAAGGAGATGTGCTATCGGTACCGAGAGGACCTGATGGCGGGAATCATCATTGCGGGCTGGGACCCCCAAGAGGGAGGGCAGGTGAGGCGCCCCCGCCCCACCCCCAACAGAGCCCTGGAGCCAGGCCTTTGAGCCTCTCCCCACCCCAGCCATTTTCTGTTTTTCTTCCCAGTCCCTGCCTCACTTACTATTAACTCCTCCCAGACCGATCCCACTCAGACCG